AAAGTCCTGCTTGAGTGTTCAAGCAGTAGCTAGTAAAAGGGATATAGTCCATGGCTTTGAAAAGGATCATCACAGTGCTTCAACACTTTGTAACTTGAGTAGCATTTGACTGTGTTTCTCATATTAATTCGTTACATAAACTGGAGGAATATGGAGTCAGAGATGTGACACTTTCATCCACACCCAGAACCACAACCAGTACTTGTACTTCCTACATCAGAGGATTGTCGGAAAGGATGACAAGAATTGCGTCCAAGTATAACATCAGAACCTAGTTCAGATCCATAAACACTATCCGTAGCAGCCTCACAAAAATCAGGCCACCAAACGCGGACTGCGATTCCAAGAATTGCATTTACTGGATACCCTGTGAGTGTGGACAATCCTATATCGATGAAACTAAGAGGCCATTGGATGTTCGCATTGCCGAGAACAAGTAACACACACAGCGAGGGAAAACCCGCAAATCAGGCATAGCAGAGCATGTTTGGACCCATCAACATAACAATGAGTGGTCCCAAGCTGAGACCGTACACAGGGAGGAACATTGGCATAGGAGGAAGTTCAAAGAAGCCGCATATATGTTGTCCAACAATATATTCAGCTAAGCTAGCATAATAACAATTTTATTCATGTAACATTTTAAATCAAGTGTCATTTAAAATAGAACAAATTTTGCGAACAATCGTTTTTAATGTGTCGAACAAATGCATGAGTCAATTAAATTCAAACAAATAAATTGTTAGTTGAATAAATTGAGGAATGACTATTTGTGACAATAAAAAGTAAAACGGCGTTCCATACAAAAATATAGATAGATTTTCGATCAACTCCCAATTTCACGGGTGTAATACTCGTGGGGCTAATGTTTTGAGTCCTCAGCAGTTCAATTTACAAAAATTCTCTAAAAACTCACTCGATGTCAATCTACATAATATTCTACCATCCAGTATCATAAATTTATCCTCGCCAAGCTTCAGAAAGCACATCAAGGACTATCTAATAAAACAAAGTTTTTATAGTACAGAGGAATGTGTTGACACAACCTCAGTGCTTGAACTTTTATAATATCATGTACATTTTCTTTATATTTTAAGTGTTATTTTTTTATATATGTTTCGTATTCAGTTATGCTGTTCATCTACATTCTGTACCACTTGCTACTAATTTACCTTTATTTACCGTAGTCAATAAACATCGGTCATCTATCTATATTTTCACATGTCGAGACCGCCCCGTTTCATAGTAGTCTTCAACGTGGTCTTTGTCATCCTAATTAAAATGTGCACCCTAATCAAAATGCTGGATTCAAATAATGAGTATCGTAAAAGAGTAATATATTCAACAAATCTGATTCAAAACTCCTTCTACAATCTCGGTAGAATTACTGAAGGTAATGGATTACCGATATGTGTAATTGGTTCTTCAATTTTCAAAGGTGGTGAAATATATCACATCTCCAATATGCCCTAGTATATCCCAATAGCCCTTGACAAGTCGATTTTCTAAAACTTCAGCACTTCAGTCTGCTACTCACAACAATCATTATTAAATTGCAGAAGATATTTCAACTATTTATCAAACATCAATCAGTTTAACTCCGAGGCCGATATCAAAGGTTGAAATGAGAAATAACCGATTCGGAATTAAACGCCGAGACGTTTATATTTCTAGTAGAGAATTAAAGAATTACTTTATTATCTATAATTACAATGCAAAATTTATCTTTCCAGTATGCGTTAATAATCACAAAAAAGGAACCTGAACATGCTGATAACTCCGTGTACTGAACTCATTGTTCTGAGAATCTCATTGAGTTTCGCATATCAACTTCCATTTCAGGTCTAGTAGAAGTGTGCTGTATAAATCAAATACAGTACACTCATAAAGTGAAGCATGAATCCATTGGGATTTAATTTAACAATATTATCGGAAACAGGTCAATTTTTGAATTAAAAATATTGTTTGGTCGAATGGAACTTGTAGTACCAACCGTTTTGTCTACTATTGCGACAAACATCTTCAATCGTGTATGCATTGACTGCGAGGACCAAGGTAGTATCTCGAAATTTTACCAACGGCTCAAATCATTGTAATTATATTTTAAGAAGATGAAATAAAAAATATCAGTATCAAGTACTGTATCGTCCATTAAATAACTGAAGACGACTTGGACCAAAGAACTGCTGAAATCTACTCGTATACGATGGACCAAAATAATTAAAATATGTCCATTGCAATTTTTTTTTTAGCTGAAGCAGCGTTTTATTCAAACCGGCATGTTAATAGACAAAATTCCCGTTACTGTTCTGATGAAAAACTGGTTAAAAAATACCATAAACAACAACCACAAAAGGTCCATTTGTGGGCTAATATTTCGCCAAACACCAATTATAGCCATATTTCTTATAAAAAACACACACTTCTGACTTTACTCAGCCTTTTCTTGATATTCCAATACCTATAAGTTATAAGGCAGAATCTTGTTCAAATAGGATGGCACATCGCCTCATTTTGCTGAGTTTGCTGCATACGTGAGATTGTAAATAGAACATTTCCAAATCAGCAGACAGGAAAACTATCAGAGGACTGGTCATTTAGATTACCTATGATTAGACTTTTTTTACTGGTGGTGTTACGTTTATTCAGTAATCAGTTGCAGAAACTTCAAATCAGCCCTAAAGATAGGGCCTCACAATTTATAATTCAGAACAGTCGAATATATTCAATCTGAGCCTTCGTAAAATTTCCTAAAACATTATCAATTGTCATTCCGTACTGTCTTCGTGATAAATTACCTCCTCTAAGCAAAACTCCTAACTTAGCCCCTGTTTTGAATTTTTTTTTCAAAAATTCAGTGTAGGAAAAGAATTTTTTGGAATATCTATTGATCTTATAAAGACAGAAGTTTTTAGGAATGAAATATCGTTTTGAAAAGAGAAATGAAAATTTATATGTTTTTCACCACTTTTATTTGTAACTAACGGTTACTGCAGTTTCGTCGTATACGGACATTTTCAAACTTATATACCTAATATAAGTGTAAGTTTGAAAATGTCCGTATAGCACGAAACTGCAGTAACGTTAGTACAAATAAAAGTGCTAAAACACATAGACATTTTCATTTCTCTTTTCATTATGATTTCCTACCACGTAGTAACGGCGGAACATCCATCAATTTATTAAAATATCATTTTAATTACAAATTTCTATTGGGATAGCTAAATTGGATAATTGGATAATGAATATCGTTTAATACCAAATTCAGTTAAAGTGAATGACCTGATAGCGTCATCATTTGTCAGAATTTATATTTACAAAGGATATGTACAACAGATATCTGTAACAAAATATGTGCTTTGAAAATTTGTCGTAAAGTTAGTTGTCTCGTCAAAGAATACAAAGCCCATAGAATTTTTAGTACTTACCCCGACCACCAGATAGCAATGGCAGTACTATGTAATGACTATATAGTATTTAATAGGTTTGTTTTGGTTCTGTATTTCGAACTATTATTGAACCGTCCCGTATCGACGCCGAATCAATGCGCAGAACATTACAGTCACAGAACAGTTCTGGAACGGTCCCAGCAAGTAAAAAACCAAAACATATAAAAATGAAAAATTTTATTAGTGCGCAAGAGCAAATTCGAAGTTCTAAACAGACCCTACTCAAATGTATGAACTAATAATTACCGTTCTGGAATAGTTCCGAATCTGTTCGGAGAAAACCAAAACACTTTGTGAACGATACTAGAACGATTCTAACACATTTTAATAACTGCCCATGATCGAACTGTACAGAATTGTGAACCAAAACAAACCTAATATGATTACGAACAGAACTGGGTAGTAGTCGCTGACAAACCAGGCGGCTTTTTAACTTAATTTAATTGTGGCGTACATTCCAACTTCGGTATGATCCGGCATACTATTTGTCAGCGACTGCTAGCTACTAGCTACCCAATTCTGTTAATACCATCGACATAACCTTAATTGTTATGTCAGTGGTTGATACTCACATTGAATACTGACCAATACTGCCATCGCCCTCTGGTGGTCAGGGTAAATACTAAAAATTTCAGATGACACGAAAATGCCACTTCTGAGCTTCTATGTGATTCATATTTTTGATCTCGTAGAACAATGTTCATTATGTTCGGCAGAACAGAGATGCATAGACAGGTAAACGGATACTTTTCTTGTGAAAAATAGAAAATATTATGAATATGAGAATATTAACCCATGAGGGCCATTCACGATAGTATTTTTAGTGTTATTCCTAAAAATTAAAAAATTAATTCTTACGATATATAGAATAAAATAATATTTGATATAAAATACCTTCATTTTGAACACTGAACACGTTCTATTCACAGATGGTATGTTACGTAAAAATTTGGATTTTGTGATTAATCTCTTTTATAAAACATTTCATAATCATGATTTGAAATAGTTTTTCATCTGTGGACATAATATTCTTATGATCTGTGACATTTAAACATGGTATTCCAACCTCAAAATGAAAATACTTTTCAGATAATGAGTTTCAAATTCAAAATAATCAAACTAGTCTAACAAGTAATTGTAATGTTGTGAACTGGTTTAAATACCATTTTATTATCAGTAAACCACATATTCGACATAAATATAATTTAATAATCCATCACCTCATGGCATTTTTATCTGTAAACATAAATGTTATACACCAATTGTATTGCAGTATTGCATTATCTAATCCGTAAAAACATCAAACAAGGCATCAAGAATCAAAAAGTCGTATGTAAGCTGTTTTCTTATCGCTTCATAGCTCGTTCGATGAAACTGAAGTGTAAAGTTAAGGTCAGTTGTCAAATGATCAAGGAACAATATCTGAAAGTTTGTTTCGGCAACGCTGCGTTAACTCTTTCTGTCTTCTGTCGATGCTTTGTTTAGTTTAATGCAGAGCCGACTTAATATAAATTACACAATTGAGTATTTTTTCAAAACAAAAACAAAATTGTTTACTTCAAATTTAATTCCATTGTTTTTAATGGTACTGTTGTATGCAATACATCAAAACTTGTAAATTACACTCCTTTTAATTAATTCATTTGGAAAATGCTGTTCCACTTGCTATGCCGGCTCTGAATGCGCGTCTTCTGAACCTGAACTGTCAAACAGGTCAACTTCATTCAGTTCATTCATTCATCTTTGCTAGAAAATGACAACCGTGGACGATAATTTTGTTTAATGTCGATACCTTACTACTGAAGCGTATACTGTTAAGTAATGTGAAATAAAACGGTCATAATGATATGAGGTGATTCGTAAAGTGATAGGTTTGTTTTACTTTGTATCAAAAACGCACATCAAAATGGCAGGCCGAAATCGTCCAGTACCGCACAAAAACCTATCGACGATATTTTCCAAATTACAGGGCGCTTTTTCAGAAGTGGTAACACATCCAAAATACTCGACAGACAAAAGGACTTTGGATAAAACATGGAAACTAATGGATAAAGTTGTGAAATTGTGTCAACATCAGAAAATGAACTTGAAAAATTCGCCCCCATTTATTTTAGATATTTTGCCAGACACCTATCAAAGACTGAGGCTGATTTATTCTAAATATGAAGATAATATGGGAGAACTACATTCAATTGAACACTTTAATATATTTATTATTAATTTAATGCGGAAGTGTAAGCAAACAATTAAACTGTTCAAGGAAGGTAAAGAAAAAATGTTTGATGAAAACTCTCACTATAGGAGGAACTTAACAAAACATAGTTTAGTGTTTAGTCATATGTTGAGTGAATTGAAAGCTCTCTTCCCGAATGGAGTGTTTGCTGGTGATACGTTTAGGATTACTAAGTCTGATGCTGCAGATTTTTGGAAGACAAATTTTGGGAACAGGTAAGTTGATTTCAATGTTCTTCATGAAGAAAGAAGTATTTCCATAATGCATTTTTATTTGTATAAACACTTCAGATTTTGTTTTATGTCCATTATGATAGAATTGGAACCTTTATCATGAGATGAGTCAAATGAAAACACTGTTTCGCACCAAAATAAAGGCACTTTCTCTCCACGTGCTTTTCGCTAAACAAGTTTGCATCATCAGGAGATGATTGAAACAGTTTTATGATGCTACTTGCTAATTGAGTGTGCACGAAACAACTTAAATTCAATTTGTATCTGTTAGAATCTGCAGAACATTACAAAAAGTTACAATTATTCAGTAACTTGAGGCTAAACACAGTTGCCTTGCATATTACATATATCTAACCATTAAGAAGTAGAAACTGTTGCAAAAGAAAAGCGATACAGAGGGTTGTATATTCACCAGTGGCCGTTTTCAGAAAAGTGATAAATATGTGAGACAAGATCTACTAGAAGAAAATAGTTACAATTATTGAGGACAGCAATTGGCTTTCCCTACTAAAACATTTTTGAAAATGCTGCAGAATAATTTCAATGTTAATTCAATTACGTTATTTTCATGCCAGAGAAATTTCTGTAGTTGAATTTCTTACAACCAAAATATTTTGACAAAAACTAAACGTTTTGTTCAGTTTGGCGCTATTAGTAGTACTGGTGAAACTGGATTCAAATGTGCATGACAAAAATCATCGAAAAGTTTTAAAATCAAATCTGACTACTACTTTAATCTAAGCCATATAAAACGGTTTTGTTAAGATTGCAGTTTCAGTCTGCTTCCATAACAATTTTTAAAAGGTCTTGCAAAATGCTAAATTTGTTGCCTGCTATCACAGCTGATCACAGAGACTCGTTCGTGATGAAGATGAAGATGATGATTAATTAAGAAATTAAATATATAAGTTTGAAAATGTCCTTATAGGACGAAACTGCAGTAACGTTAGTTACAAATGAAAGTGGTAAAACACAATTGATTATAAAAAAATAATTTTTTTGAGCATTTTTTTAAAATTATTTTCTTATAAATACAAGTATTCTACTTAAAAAACATACACTTATTTATTTGCATGCTATTTCCTGAGCTTTTCAATTAAGTTCAATGAATTAAAAAAAAATTAAAAACAATATTGTTTTTGTCAGATTAAGCGAATCCCCGAACATTGTAAGATTATTCGCATAGCACGATTCTGCATCTTTTGTAGTCTGTTTATTTCATTTTGATTGGGAAAGAACAGAATGGTAGAACAATAATTCAAATGTGGAAGGATTATGGAGTTGTAGACTAATAATTTAGACCACTGGCTCATGAATGGGGAACATCTTCTTAAATAGTTGATTTTGTAAGTTATTGTTTTGATAACTTGATTAGCATGTTCCTTGAATTTCAGGTTGCTGTCAATAGTTACACCCAAGTACACGAATTTGTTTACCTTCTCTATATTACTGTCATTCAATCCTAGAAGTAGGTTTTCATTATTATAATCTCTATGTTTCCCTAATAACATCCATTTTGCTTTATTTACATTGACCTTCAGCAGATTTGCAGAGCAATATCTATACACCCTTTCAAGACTAGCGTTTATAGTATCATAACAATGACGTGCTANTTAGAATAGGCCTCAGTTTCAACGATTACCCAACGGGCATTCTCTTGAGATCTGAGAACAGGAAAAAGTCGCTGAAGGGCAGATCTGGAGAATAAGGTGGAAGCGCAAGCAATTCAAAGCCCAATTCATGCAATTTTCTCATCGTTTTCATTGATTTGTGACACGGTGCATTTTTTTTCAAATGAAGTCATTTTTCGCGATTTCGTCATTCAATAACGCTATGTAATAGTCGCAGTTGGTGGTTTTTGCCCTTTCAAGATATTTGATGAATATTATACCATGCGCATTCCAAAACACTAAAAACATAACCTTGCATATTTGCACATTTGCACCTTTGCACATTTTGAAGTCGGTTCACCGCATGGAGTCCACTCAGATGACGATTTTTTTTATTCTGGTGTGATATAATGGAGCATTGTTTCATCCATTGTCACATATCGACGCCTAAATTCGGGTATTTTTATGGTGGAACAGCTTCAAACACTACTCAGAATCATCAAATTGTTGTTGTTTTTGGTCGATTGTGAGCGCTTGCGTGTTACGCTTTTTAAGGCGTCCATTGCGTGCATCATCCTTGGTGCTCATTTCACCTCGTTTAAACTTAGCAAACCACTTATCAAAGGTTGATTCTCCTAGAGTAAAGCCTGAATAATGTTTAGGAAGCCAAGCCATGGCTTCTACAGTATTTATTTTCTCGACAAAAAGCAATGCATTTTTTCTTCAAACTAACAAAAGTTACTCCACTAAAAATGTTCTATCCCACAAACTAATAGTACAACAGCTGAGAAATTTGTTCACACAGGTGTCTTTTAAAGGTTAGGGTTAACTAAAAATCATATGGATTCAATACTAGTAGCGCCATATGTATGTTAGCCTACGAACTTTCAAGCCCACCTACAATAATAACGTAATCGTAAACAAATTTGGCAGTGAAGCCCTCCAAATGGACGTTCAGGGAGAATCAACAAGCTGTGAAAAAATATCGATTTGGACAAGATTGAGTGTTCTGTAAACTCATTTCACTAATAAGTAAGTCGCTCTGACCAAACGTCATTCATCAAATGATGATACTGCCAAAAAATCGTATCTTCTACTTCAGAATCTCTGTGTAATCCTGTATAACATTCCTGAGTTCTTGACTTGGATGAGAAAATGGTTTACTGGTTGAGTATTTCTAGTCACTAACGCCAAATTGCTGTATCATCGCTTGGTGATAGTTGAAGTAAGATAAATTTGAATGAATAGGTACTTTCATAACCATCCGTTTCAAAGCGGAATTGCAATAACAGATTACGAAATGGGTATGCGTTTATCAATACGGTATAGCGTTTATTAAACAATATTAGCATTTTAAAATATATTCGCATATCTCTTGAAACAATACTACCTAGTAGATTTAAAAAAATTACAGGACTGAGTCAATTCAGGTCATGAAAATATTTACCGTTCAGACAAAGCTGTCACCATGCATGACACGTTATCACATTCGAGGTTAATGAACGAAAAAGCTGAATGAGTTAATCTCTTTCCAAAATGGACCCCTAGAAATTGGGGTGCAGTATGAGGTGGCAATTTTCCCACCAATACCTGTATTGATGTATCTTTTTTCCCAATATAGATATATTGTTCCGTTCCGTTCATAAGCAAGTATTTAAATTATAATGAACCATATATACCTCAATTTGACGCGCTTGAGTATTTCAAAATGGCGAATTTTTTTTTAACATTATAATAATGGCCGCGAGTTTGCGTCAGATCGAAATCGTCTGATTATTGAATGAGGGCTTTTTTTTGTTGCACTTAACACCCCCTTTCTTTTCACTTTTAACCCTTACGTACAACCAACCACATCATGCAAATGATCAGATTAACATACCAACGTTACTAAAAATACGTAGGACATTGATGCTATCAATATCTCACGCGCTCGAGTATGTCCATGCAACAGTATTTTTTTACATATTTAAAAATCTATAGCCGCTTCCCCCACCGATGAAAAGATATATATTATATAACATTTTTTTCTTCTTATCATCTAAGTTTTGCAACCTAATATGTCTCAATGACGCTCGAGAAAATCCCCATTTTGCATCGTGGGCTCCCCTGCTAATACAACCATTGGAACTTAATCTATCAAAGACTTTGTAGGTGTATGATTGATGAGATTAACTGCACAATGCACCGCTTCATTCCATAATGTTTTACCAAGACTTGAACTAGATATTATGCACCTTGCCTTCTTTATGATTTTTCTGTTCATTCGTTTTGCTATACCGTTTTATTGTGGACTATACCTTATAGTGAACTCATATTGTATACCAACGTTTTCATAATATTTTATCATATCATTAGAAATCTATTCTCTTCCAACGAAAATTTTATGAATGATTGACAGGCGATGATCTGGCATAATAAGGTTGTTGTAATTTCTGGTCCTATATTCAGGGTTGCATTAGAATATGTATAAAGCTATCAGTCTATTTTATTTTCCCCAAAATGTTAAGGGCTGTCTTTAGAAGGATATATATCCTCTCCTAATCAGTTGAATGTCCCCAAAAAAGTTATCCATAAGACCTATTAAACTGAAATACCCCTGTGTATACTGCTCTAGAAATGTAAAAAGGAATAACACCTAAAAACTTGAGGGACTTTTGACAGTCTTTCAGCTTTCAAAAAGTGAGTGTGTCAGTTTTTTCGCGTCAAGACACAAATTAATAGATGCAAAAATGTTTTTTTTTTATTTATTGCGTATAAGGTTTGTTATTTAAAGTATTGATGATCAGGGTGACTCTCATAAAACATGGTATCATCGGCATACTGAAGTGATGGTATTGAAAGCACTCATGTAATGTGTGGAAGTTCATTGAAATATAGTATAGATAGAAGAGGCCTCAGGATAGATCCCTGGGGTACCTCTGCATTCTTTCAGATAATGAAGATTGGATCAGATCATCTCTTTTGCCTCTTATTTCAT